TCTTTACTTACGTGGATTTCGCTTTAAATGCTGTTTAATCTTTTGCGGTTTTTCTGGACGACATTCTAATTAAGAAGAGAAAGTAAGTTAATGTTGACGGAAAGGCAGATATAGGTAGATGAATTCAGGCTTAGACGCAGATCAAAAAAATATGTATTTTCTGCTTGTGAAGCGGTTTTTTATATTATGCAGAAGTTTTCACGAAAGAAAAAATTTCAATAATCTACAACCATGCAATAGACAATTGACGGTTTCAAATTTTTTATAAAGTGAAAGAAAGTTTTTTCAACCTTTAGCTTATGTAAAAAACAAATAAGAACATAATATATAGATACTCTATGTAACTTCGTCTAATACAGTTTTTCATTCGCTTTGGTAACAATAAACCAAAAACCTTACATCCAAATTTAACAAACTTGATTTACTTTCTAAAAATTTTACTATTTTCCACTCTCCATCATAAAAAAGCAGAAATTAGACTTTCCCTCCATAGTCATTCGATTGTTGTCAATTGAAGTGAACGGATGTGTTATTTTGTGCGGGCAGTGTTATACAACTATATAGCCATTAAAACGTTTAGCATACAATTTTACACAAACAATATAAGCGTAAAAAAGTTGATCATTATAAGTGAGTTTTAGCTTTTGACAAGGCTAAATAGCATACATGCATAAATTGATTGGCCCATTTTGGTTTAGCCTTTTTTAAGGTTTTCATTGATAATATACACAAGTGATAATATATACGGATGTGTGATGTTAGGTCTATTGTTTCGTTAAATTTGGAACGAGTGCACTTTTATTCATTGTTGAGCTGCTGCTTAGTTGCCGGCGTTATTTGTTGGAGAGTAGACAAATGAAGAGGTGCCTATCGCTTGTCCAATTGTTGGGGTGTCATTATTTTCTTCTATATTTAATCATATATAACTTGAATTCAAACAGTTCGCCTTATTTATTATATGAAGTGCATTGTGTGAAATATTTGAATATATCTCATAACTAGTGCACAATGGTCGGAAAGGGTAAGAAGAATAAGAAAGGTTTGAAGAGTGTGTGGGGAGATCGTTCGATGTAGAAATGATGTCGTCCGACGATGATGTGTTGCGAAGGGGGGCCAGAAGGCTGGCTTAGTTGAAAAGAGTTGTGGAGAACGTCACCGCAGTTTGTCCGATGTGTCGAATAACGACAGTGATTTATTTGAATGTCCGTTGGAGCGATTTGACGTCTTCAGTTGTCGGTGGGCGCTCAGGATCTATGAAGAGCCGGCTCTGCAGTTTTATCCGCTCATGTCTGGAGTGTCAAAGACTTGTTCTTCGAGAGATGCCGCAACGCAAATCAAAGAGAGATGAATTGGTGGACACGTAGACTGTCCAAGAAAAGACAGACCGTTCGAGTGGGTGAAAATGCCGTGAATGATGTTCAGCTAAGAGTCGAATTGAGGCAATGCCTAAATAACTATAAGCGCATGCTTATGAAGACCAAAGAGGACAACTGGAGAAACTTTGTGCCCCGAAATCGTTACGATCCTTGGGGTCAGATTTACGTGGTATCAGAGGAAGAAGGTATTCGTACTTCAAATGGGGTACCATCCAACTGGAAAGAGTGTCTGCACTCGTTAATGGGCACATTCTTCCTTGGGCGGGATGATGCTGTGCTTCCCAATATTGGTTTTATGTCTCCTCCGTCTCCCTTGGAGAAGAATGAAATTGGGTATTCAATTTCGAAAGTTAGATCAAAAAGATCCCCATGCGTTGGCGAAGTAATGGAGAAGATGGCTAAAACGATCTGGAAGGTTATTCTTGAATATATGATTTATTCTCAGTGTCTGTCTTAAGGTCACTTTCCATTACATTGGAAAATAACAAATGTCATAGTTTTTCTTTAGTCATCTTGAAAGACTAGGAGCGATCCTTGGTTTTATCGGGGCATCGTTCTCCTCCCAGTTTCTCTTTGGAAAATTTCTAGAGGGGGAGAGAAGTACTTGCCAGACTGAAAAATTGCCTGAAAATTAAACTCTGCACAAGCTACTTCTCTCAAAGACGTCCTTGTGTTGTGGGTATAAACGATATTGTACTTAGCACAAGAATTTATCAGTGGACCATTTATATGGAACATTATAACAAATCATTTATTAAGGCACCTAGAAAACATTTGCGGAGAAGTAAATGGAATACTTAGCTTGTCTACGTATGCAGACGACGTGATCATCCTGGTGAAAAGTAGAGTTCGGAAAGTAATTGAAGAAAGCGGTGGAGGCGTTATGAGAGTAATTAATGCTTGGGGACATAGTGTTGGTGTCGATGTCTCATTAGAGAAAACTGATAATGAAAGGTTAGTCTGGCAGACCTGCAGTGGTCAAAGTGAATGAGATTGGTCTTAGGTACGAGGCAAAAGTCAAGTACCTAGATATTACCATGAATGATAAGGACAAGTTTTTTCCACACCTTGACAAGGTTAAGGGCAAACTTATGAATGTGGTAGGGCAGATTTATCGTGGCCTACGGTCACCCGAGGTTTAGCGTTAGCTTACGTCTCGGGTTTCTACTTACGGACTACACATTTTTGCATGAAAAAGGCCGTTTTGAAAATAGGACTTGCCTATATGTCCCCGAGTACTCTGCATTCAGAGACTTAGAGGCCGTAGGAGTCGTGGCGTTTGCATCTTGTCTTTTCTTCAATCACCGGCGTATTTGACGAGGTTTTGGCAGCACTTCTAAGCGCTGCTTTGACTGGCTTCTCAATAGTTTATTTGACTGTTACTGACTGTCTGGGCATTGAGAGTTTCGTGGTGTCTGTGGGAAATCCAAAACGCGGAAGTAGCCTTGTGGAATTGCAAAATTGCAAAGTTGTTTCACCCAAAAAAAGGCGGAGGTTTTAGATACGCGGAGGCACACCCGTATATGTATCTTCGCGTCCACAAGTCCATTCGTGGACTTACCATCCTTGGAGCGTTCAGTGTGCGTTTGCGTCCTTCGTGCGCTATGAAGCATCCTGCGGTTAAGCCTTAAACGCTTAGAGACATCTTTCCCTCCGTAGAAAAAATTGGACATTATAGATAGAAATAGAAATAAAAAAAGTTTGATATTTTTCCATACAATGATTCAGTCTTCGCAGGCACGTTTTGAAATGACGTTGCAAAATAAGACATTACATGGGAGTCGTCGAAAAAGGGAACCAATACGAACGCTTTTTAATGGCCAAACCACGTCAGTATGCTAAGTTTTATCAAAATATCCCAAAAATTGTGATCTGTGGGTTGAACAAAAATACAGAGGCAGACATTAGACGAACAGAATCATTTTCTTAATGGATCGGTATAATCAAAAGTGGGTCGATCAGAAGCCCTTCCGAGTATTACATACGCCCTCATAAACTTAATATACCACGTACCACAAGTGGTGTAGGGTATAATTACGTAAGCATTTGAATGTACTTTATATATCCACAATAGAAAAATGAGGAGCTGTGCACTCAACAGCTTCAGAGCCCCACAAATGATGTATATAGTTGATCAGTATCAAATTCTGAATCGTTTTAAACTTGTACTTATATAAAATATTTGGAAGCTCTTCCACATCAAATCGATCGGAAAAGACGCCATGCACCACTTAAACTGAGAAATCCTTTGTTTTTAAAAGCAAAAACCAATTGTTTTTCTTCATTGCTCATAAACTACAACATATAAAATTTGGCATGCATATTCTGTTTAAAGGACATTGGAAAATGTCTAACTATTCGGACTATTTCTTAGGTTACCCTTTTTGTCAAAACCGTAGTTCAGAAGGAAGTTTCAGAGACAACATTAATTATATTTAATGTATTGTTGACCACTGTCAAATCCGGAATACACCTAAACATGTCAATGTGTTCGTCTGTCCATCTCTGTGAAGTCTGTGATATTTATTCTATTCTATATTCATTTTCCTTTCCCACATTGCAGGATATAGTAATAACACCTCTAATTTCTGTGTTTTTTCTCATTATTCATAAACTGGTCAACACATGTATATTCTACAAAAATCGATAAAATCAGCCATCACGATCCTATAACGTAAATTATACAAATTCCCCATTCCGTTTCCTTTTTTAAATCCCTTTCAAAATAAAAAGGGATAAAAAGATTCGGCTAGTACGAATGTCATTTTCTTACTTGTTTGTTTAATCATTGTTAAGGTCTAAAACTTGTTAACAATTACTCTAACACATCACCTATAAGGGTATCGGCGATTGGACTTTAATTTCTTAAAGACTTTCGACAAACAACATGAAATTTGTAACTGGCAACAGCGATGCGATGATTCGTTTCATAGAAAATACTCTCCTGCAAATAACCATCAAACATAGTTTACCCATCACAGTCTTGACCGCAATCTCATCAATTTCATCAACAGGCTACTGCACACCGGATGCAACCATCATTTGACAAAATGAACAGAATAGACGGCCACATGTGCATCATAATCTTCAGACCATTTTCTTTTTGTCTGTATACCATCCATTATCTTGTAAGAAATGAAAAACAAGCAATAAACACAATTTATTTTAAAGTTGAAATATATTCATGAATTTGTTTTATTGGATAGTGATAAATAGCAATTTCTAAATTATGGAGCAAATAATATAAAAAATATATAAAACCGTAATAAACAAACAAGCTTATTTATCTATTAATTTTTTTTTTTTGGTTGTTTTAGATGTTAGGTGAAAAATTTCTTATATACAGGTCTATAACCCCAGTAACATGGCATAGAAGTCAAGGATTGATAGTACGTTGCAGATCAGCCGAAATGCGAATGTTTGGAAATCCAAATGGAACCAGATGGTACTAAATCATTTACGCGTCCTTCTTGCATTTTGGTCCATTTTCAATACCGACCTACGTGCAAAAGCTATCAATGTTTCTTCCAAATTTGAAGTTGACAGCATTTTTGCGGTTAGAAGAATGTTTATAACAGACATTACACAAACGGAATTGCGAACATGCCATACTTTACAATATGTATACCTTATGGGATCTCCACATTTAAAGGGAAGTTGAAAAATTTGAAAGAATTTTGTTAAACGGCCTCAAGTTAACACAATATAAGCTTTTCTGACATCCGGAGAGAGCACCGGTTTTTTTCCTAATTCACTATTAAAAGAGATAGTTTATTGATGTATATGTTTGTAGATTTGCGTTTTCGAAAAGCATAGGAGCCAGCTGGAATTATTTACTTTTTGTTCAAAAAATACATCAGTCTCTCCAAACCATTATTAATTATCTTCATGAACACTGAGTTTAGCAGGATAGGGCTAAACTTGCATTAGCAATGGGCACGCCTTTCATGGAATTTAAAGGGTAAGGTCGTGTTAGACCAGCGAAGATTGCAGCACAGATAAGGCAGCCTTCCCCAATTCTTGGGAATCAGTGTTGAGAATCATTGTATTTTTGTTACCTAAGATTTTGTTCCTATCTTCATTGCGGTTTTTTGAGGTATCTAAAGATGAATTCGGCAAAGGGCAATTTTTGTCATACGATTCATTTTCAAGACTTTGATAATAATTAGATGTGTATTTCTTTTACATTCTTTGTAAGAAATATTTTCTACTGACATGATCATATTAAATACTAATTCATGCCCTCTGGTCGGAGCTTGTTTAAAGTATTGTGATTATTTGAACCGCAAGCAATACATTTGACTTCCTTAATGAATTCGTTTTCGAGTTAAAAATTTTTTTTTTGTTTGCAATTTTGTAAAACCCTTTTTTGAAAATTTACACATTAAATTTTTTCTCTTTTTTCGTCCGAATATTGGGTAAGTATTCCCCAGGATAACAGCTACAAACACAACAGCTCGTCTCCTTAAGGATCTAATTAGCACAGGTAGAGATGATTTTGAAGGTTTTTATATGAATGCTGCTAAGAATAGTAAGCGATCGAAGATGTTAGGGGATAAAGTTGATTTATCTCACAAATAAGGTGATGATTTAATAGTGCTCATTAAACACGTAGTTAATAAGCCGTCTGATTTGAGTGCCAACGCCATTTCAAATCATAACATTAATTTGTATGACTATTTCGCAATGCAATTTCTTAGTTTTTGTTGAAACTTGCGAAAATGCCGAAGACGAGCATATGAACATTAAGTCGGACCTTTCCTTTTATAATAATTTGAAATGTTGCAATATTAATAGCTTACAAGGACTAAAAGCGGTTAGCAAGGGCAGAGCTACATTGCTGTTCAGTTCTGCTCTTAATGCCAATAACTTCGTTAAAAACAATGATTTTCATAAAAAAAATTTAAAATCGTTATTCGCAAGGTTCGCAATGAATATGTTGTAAACAAGATCATTGAAAAAGCATTAAGTCTGTTGATAGGTTTCAAAGAAGACATCCTAACAACAAGGACGATTGTATTCCCAGAACTAATATTGAAATTGGTTTTAAAGGGAAAGCCCTCCCCAAATAGGTCAAATTCAATTTTTACAATCTACCCGTGAAGTACTTCGTATCCACCTTAAAGTGTGATAGATATGGGCAGGTATTGAAGTTTTGGAAAGCCAAGTAGGACAGTTGTCTCAATTGCAGTAAGTCTCCCAAGTGCGAAGTGGTTTGTCCTGCGGGTCAGGCGAGCACGACGCTCTAAACAAGTGTTGCTCGAACAGAGACCGGGAATTAAATAACAACAAGATTATAGCCATTAGAAATCTTTCTTATAAAAAAGTGAAAGAGAAGTTTTCCTCAAACTGCTTTAAATTTCTCGATGACAACTCCTACGACGAGCATTTGGAAACTTGCCTGTTATTGTGACTAAGGGTATTATGTTAATACGATTCTAAAGGGTGAGAATGTTAATACGATTCCAACTAACAAAAAATTTAAGGCGATTGTTAAAGGAAATCTGTTATTTGCAAACTTTCTCCCACTTCAACCCCAAAGTCGTCTGTAAGAAGATCTCAGCAGCCAATGATTTCGACCAACATTCTGAGTTTCTCGGAACTTGGTAGATTAATCTCTGCGATTAAAGAATGATCTCTCATAATCTTCTTAAGGAATTTCAAAAAAATGTGTCAACGGCATAGTTCCTTTCGCGATAGAGCGTTTAGAAAATAACCAGAATCCTGTGCCGCATCACAAAAAAAAAATTTTAAATGAAAACAAAAGAAAAGAAGAAGAGTCTTACGAACCCTTTTAGGAGTCCCCACGGTGTGACTGGGCCCGCAGTTAAGTCCGTCTGTGAGGTCCGTATTGTACGCCTTTCGTTGGTCCTTTCTTAGTCCGTCAGTAACCATTCCCCGTCCTCCTATCCATTCGTGCGTATGCCCACCCACACTCTGCTTCAGCCGTGGAGTATACCGCTTAGCCAAGCATTTCTAGCCAAGAACTTTTAATTTTAATTTTTATCCATTTTGTCGTCTTAACCAATTACATTATTTATTTACTTAAAATTTCCTTTCATTAGTACCTAGACTTTTCCATATTCTCTTTGTTCGCTTAAATTTGTGTTTTCAACGAGTTAAAGCCCGATCACGTCTTTGAGAAAATGTAAGAATATATTCAATTAGGAATTGTTCTATTTATACATTGGTTTATGATAAGTTTGTAAATAATTTTTTTTTTTTTTTTTTTACAAAAGTTTCGGCGGATATCGAAAGCTAAGTTTTTAAATTTAGCTTACCATTTATATATTTATGACAAGAATGAACTCGATGCTACAATCTCCTTCCTTATTTGTTCCTAGATTTGAATTAGCGACAGGTGTCCACGTATCTTGGCTCATGTTTACAGCAAAGGGTTGTTGCTTTAGTTGATTCCTGGATGGTCGGGAAGGTTGTTGTTGTTGAAAAAGGTTTGATTTTGATGGAATAATAGTATCGCTGAACGGATTGTAGGCAGATATATTTCCAGCCGGTTGCAGCGAAGCAGGTTTAATTAGATTATCTAATTTGACTAAAGCTGAATTCTCACCCAAAAATGCCTGATGATTAATACTTCACAAGCATTTGTTTTTTAAAAAAAAATATCGTTTTTTTTTCAAATAATTTTTTGTTTACATTATTTATTTTCGATGAATTAAAATCTTTTTTCTTATTATTTTAGTAATTCTCACGCTTCAGTTGTTATTTCGCAAATCTCCAAAACAAGAAAACATTTTTCGGCAAACCGTTATTCTTGCCAAATGTGCTCTCGAACAAGGCCGTTATTACGATCACACTTACTCTATTGCGATATAGCAGTGGACAGAACCCGTACGCTACTTTTGTGCGTAGACGTTACAGATGTCTAATTCTCGCTACGATCAAACGCCTAGTACTACGAGTAAATCCTCTGGGGTTCCGTTTTTAGTTAAAATATGGGTTGGTTTTTACAATATAATACTCAAAGTGTTCGACGTAACTTATCATTTCTGGATTTTTACATGAACTCGTCTAATATTGATTTCTGCATATTAAGCAAAGTTTTTCTAAGGGATGACAATTTTTTTGAAGTTAAAGTTTCCAGTTACGTCTTTTCATTGCTTGGGTTAATGCATATGTTACATTCCAGAAAGAAGGCTGCTGCTGCAAGTTGTGATGAAGATAAGTAGGACATAATTAGAGCACTGTCTGGAGGAAGCTTAACTATCCTTTTGCATGCAATTAATAACTATTGGTCTAGTTACTTAGATTTGCGATGTATGAAAGCAGTTCCCCTCTCTAAGACAGGTAAAAGCTTAAATGATTTAAGTAACTTCAGACTAATTTCGCTAATGTCTGTATTCATAAAGATTATCAATCTCATGGTTAAGAAGAGGCTAATGGATTTCTTGCAAATTGGGAACGTTATTCCAGCTCGTTCGTATGCCTATCAAAAACGTAAATCTGCAAATATGTATATATTTTTTCTCATAGCTAGTTTAAAAAAAGCTGGTAAAATTGTTGTTGTGCTTTCATTAGGCATAAGCAAACTATGATTGTGTCAACTTGTTTAAGCTTGGTAAAATTCTCTTAGACTTTTTAATTCCTCTTCAAAAGCGTCAGTGGATACTAAATTTTTTTTTTAATTGTGCTTTGGTAATGGGTAAAGAAAAAGTTGAAGTGTATGGTGGTATTCCACAAGGCCATTGTTTGAGCCCCATACTCTTCGACCTACATACCACTACTTTGCATAATCTTCAAGAAGACAAAGCTCATATTTTGCGATATACAGAGGATTTCCCATTAGTATCTGCGGATTAATCTTTTTCAGCGGCTGTGAATAATCTCTCGACAAAAGTTCATATTGGCCGTCGACAAGACGTATGGACCTCCGTTACTTGCAGCAACAAAAACACACGTTGTTTTTTACATTTAGCTACAGTTTTTTCGAAGCGACCGTAAAAGCCTTGTTTACTTTCTAACTTTAGGATTCTACGATTCATTAGAGAAACCCATATTATGTAAAGGCAACAGAAAGCATGCCGAAAAATAATGGGACTACCATTTCCGTTTTCTAAGTGAGATCATGAAGACATTTTTCTTAAGAAATGTGGAACCCGTCTGCCGTTTTGATTGACCTAATTTAATATGGTTCCTTTGTCTAGTCTAAATCTGATTCTTTGCCATATGCATATGTATTTTTTGTTCCAATTCTAAGATATAAACAGAAAGCCTCGATGCTAGTTTTAAACCGTGTCAGTCATAAATCGAACGATACAAATCGTCGCCTTTAAAGAGAAGACTACTTTTTACCTTTATTTTATTTTGCAGCCTGAAGACTGCGCACCCAAGAAATACACGGCCATATCAATAAAAGCTTGCTTGTTTAAACCCAACGGAGACATGCGTGTCACTTGGTCTTCTTCAGCCAAAGGTACAAATTCTTCGCAGTGATAAACACACAATCGATGAAAATAGGTATATTTTGTAAGTCTAATATTAATATTACTGCAAACTTTGGGTTTTTTTTTTTTTTTTTTTTTTTTTTTTTTGTTTGTTTAGAGATGGATTGGACCAGTTAAGTTAATGTTAGATCCATAATCCAGAAACGAAGTTGAGAGCGATTGATGAAAAAATTTAAGCATAGGTAGACTGATGTGGCAGAGTGTTCGCAATGAGAGGCTCTGTTCCGCTGTCAATCCATAAATCACCGTCCTTGTTACTGCACTGTCAAGATCCGGCTAATAATGCCGATAAAAGAAAAAGTGTAGGCGATTCGTGATTGTAATAGAAATACTAAATGTAAAATTAGAATGAAAACTCAGCTGATTTGATAAAGGCAGTCAGTTGCTTCAAATGCCTAAAGTTACCAGCACGAAAAATTTCATATAGATTGTTATACAGGTTAAATATACTGAAAGATTGTCTAAGGATGTCAAACCTCCTGCACTCAAAAATAAGGTGCTCGGCAGACTCAGTAATATTGCAATCCTCACAGATGTCAGAGGAGGAGACTTTGATCATTTTAAAATAGACCTTGTCGTAGGTGTGATTACTCATAAGACGGTGAAGAACTTTAAATTCCCATGTTGTGAATTTTCCTTTAGGTAGAAGCGTGGGTGTCAAAAAAGGGTAAATTTTGTAGAACAGCCGGTCACTTTTTTCTCTAGCTAAAACATGATACTCATCTCTCCATTCTTTTATGATGAGTTTTTTGACTAGCAGAAAAGCTTCGCTGGGGGGGTAGTTTGTGGACAAAACTGTACCATCGAACCTAGCTTGACGAGCATGGAAGTCAGCTTTTTCATTGATACTAAAACCGCAGTGACCTGGGATCCAGATGATGTGGCATTTTTCAATACTTGTGTCTTTTAAAAGGTTGTAGATATCGAAGACATACTTATTGAATGGGTCTTTGTTCTTGATTAAAATTAGAGCAGATTTGCTGTCAGAGAAAACTACAAATTTTTTCAGCTTAATTTCAGATGCGTGGATGATTGCTTGTCTGATGGCCAGAAGTTCAATGAAAGTGGATGATAGTTCTTGTAGAACTTTAAATTTTCCTATAAGTAAGTTTGGGTATTCAATAATTGAAAAACTAGAGATGTCCGAATTGATAGATCCATCCGTTGCGTATATTTTGAAGTTATTTTCGACGAAGTGGTTAAGTTTTTGCAGACAAGCGATTCGAAGACAAGACCCTGATCGATTTTTTTTGAGTTGGTGATTGAATTAAGTAAGTTTAATTCAACTACGCATTTATCATGAATAATATTATTCCAGGAGGGTATTGAGTTAACTTTATTGAAGATGTTACTGAATTTTTTGAAGCAGTTAGAGTAACTACTGATGACATGATTGTGTCTGGAAGCGACCTCGTCAAAGAAGGCAGGTTTGAAGATTTTTACCTTGAGAAGCTCTTTTGCAGTTACAAGATAAATTCTCTTAGCAACGGGGAGTTCATAAGAGATGGAACGTAAAATTGATGTTGGTGTTGAGGGGGACAAACCGGTACAACGTCTTAGGATTGAGTGTTGAAAGGTTTGTATTTTTTTTAATGTATACGCAGGAGCGTTACACGATGTAGAGTAGGGATATTCAATTTTGGATCTAACAATAGATTTGTAAACGTTTAATGCTTTCCTAGGTGGGAGTCCGGTGTGAATGTTGGTCAGAAGTTTGATGACATTTGAGTCTGTGTTGCAATTTTCGAGGCTATCCTTGTAATGCTCATGCGTGGTTAAACTTGAGTTGATTATTCTGCCCAAAAATTTAAAAGAGGAAGACGGACTGATTTTTATACCATTGATTGTAATGTAAAAAATTTTTTTGGGACCCTTAGCAAAGCGAACGACTTTTGATTTTTCCGGGTTGAAAGTTAGATTTAAGTCTGCACAAAGTTTGTGAAAAAGATTGGCTTTAGTGTCGAGGTTACGGACTGCTTCCATTAATGATTTTCTAGCAGAGATGATGAGGAAATCGTCAGCATATTGAAATAAATGGGTAGAATTGTCCTGTAATTGATGTAAACCGGCTGTGTATAAATTGAAGAGAACTGGGCTGAGACAGCTACCTTGAGGTAAGCCTCCACAAACTTCGACTGTATGTGAATCTAATACGAGAGTTCTCGAGGAAAGAAAGTTGAGAACCCAATGCCTATTTTGTGTCGGGATTTTAAAATCAGATAGAATTTGGTCCAGTTTCGCTAAGTTTACACAGTCGTAAGCTTTATTAATGTCTAAGCAAAGCATGACTACCTGGTTCCCATTTGCTTTTTCATTTGCAATTGTGAAAAGGACTTCATTAAGGCACATACCGGTGGAGATATTTTTTTGGTAAGCAAAGGACCTTGACGGGAGAAGGTGTGAGTGGTTCAGGAATTTTGTTAGTGTTTCTTTAATCATTTGGTTGGTAATTTTTAGAAGAACAGGCAAGAGGGATATGGGTCTGAAGTTGGTGAATATTTCAAGATCTTTTCCGGGTTTAGGAATGGGCACTATTTTAATTGTACGCCAAACGGTGGGAAACGAGTTGGTCATCCAGCGCTCATTTATAGCAGATAGCAGGGTTAGAAGGCTTGGCATGGGAAGGACCTTTATCATTTCATATTTGATTCCGTCATGGCCTGCTGCTGTGGACTTCTTTTTCGACTTAAGGACGTGCATGAGTTCATCAAGGGAGAATGGAGAGATGTTTTCCATGCGAGAGTTAAGTAAGGAGGTTTGGAGACCACATGTCGAGGGAATTTGAGCTTTCAGCCATTCAAGGTAGGATTTGTTGTTGAGATCATCCCAAATGGGGTGCTTGTATTTCTTTTTTGTGGTGCGATGACCATTTAAAAATTTCCAGAATGGCTTTTTATTGCTATTTGAGCATAGTTCTTCGATAACGAGGGCTCGATGGCATCTTTTGGCTTTTCTAGTCGATTTCTTCCATTCTTTTTGTGATAACTTGAAATCTTCAAAATTAGAAATATTGGGGTATTTGGAAAATTTTTGTTTAGCAGCCTGTAATCTACGGAATTGTGAAGTGAGCAGCTCGTTCCACCAAGGTTTTGGTGAGTAGGAATTCGAGATTTGGATGTCGGATTTGGCGTTAATTATTTCTTGTTGAAATGAGCACTGGATAGATTCGACCTGTGGCTCAAGACATACGTGAATAAGATTATTTAGGAGTTTTTTCCTCGAGATAAAGTCATTTATCTTGTACGAGGTAATAGAGGTGGCATTAAAGAGAATAGGAAGGTGGTGGCTGTTTCCCAGGAAAATTTCTTTTTTAACCTCCCGTTTGAATGTGAGATGGGTTGCGTTAGTGAAAGTAAGATCCAACACGCTACCACAATTGTTGGTCGTAGAGTGAAAATAGGTTGGTGAATTATCATTCAGACAATAGAAGTTACTAGCTTTAATGATTTCTTGCAAGGCTTTGCCTTTATTGTTTGACACGGAGTCACCAAAGCAAGGGTGTCTTGCATTAAAATCTCCTGCAATTATGACATTGTGGAAACTATTGAGCATATCACAGAGACGATTAAAGTCATCCCGGAAAGATTGAATGGGGATGTTGGGCTTGAAATAGCAAGCAGCAATGACGATATTAGGTTTTAGACAAGAGGTTTTGATAATGACTATGTCAGCAGTCGATTTAAATGGGATTTGTTTGAAGGATATGCCTTTTCTGGCAAGGATGGCAACACCTCCATAGCCGTCACTTCTACATTTATAAGCGGAGTTGTAATTTGAGATTTTGAGATCGGAAATTTTTTCATCGGACAGAAAGATTTCACTCAAGATGGCGAAATCAGTTCGGTTGGAATTTATGAAAAAATCAAGAGAATGGGCATTACGCCTGAAGCTTTGTATGTTATACTGTAGGAAGGACGTCATGAGAAATGTTAGAACATGATAGGGCCGACCCACATGTACCTTGTTTTAAAAGATCAAATTTTGATTTAAGAGAACTTATTTCTGTTTGGATGGTTTTAAGCATATCTTCTTGAGAAGAGATGGAGAGAATCCTGAAAATCTTTTCCAGAATTATCTCCATATCAGTGGATTTATGGTAATTGATGAAAGTATGCTTTTCAGGAGGTGGGGTAGGTTTTTTTGGCTCCTGCGACTTGTTACTGTAAGTCGAGGGCGTCTTGAGAGACATTCTGTGCAAGGACTTGGGAATACTTGTTTTATTTTTTAAAACTGCATTGAAGTTTTTGTTAATTAAAATATTATTTGTATCAATAGTAGGGTCTCTGATATTGTTAGGAGCATTGCTGTCCTTCATTGCTGGGAAGTTTACGTCATAGTTTTCAAGTAAATTGTATGGGTTGTTAGAGAATTTCTCTTTGTATTCTCTAAAAGATAAATTCTGGATGGTTAAAATTTTTTTTAAATTTTCCTCTTTCTTTCTTTTTGAACACTCTCGAAATGTTACGTTGTGGTCCAGCGACCCGCAACCTAGACATTTGATTGAGAGGCATGAGTCCGTAGGACAGGCCGGTGACTTGCCACAGTTCAGGCATCTGCTTTCCTTACTTTTGCAGAATTTGGCGATGTGACCAAATCGGCCGCAATTATAACAGAGCCTGACGGAAGGAATGAAGTAGTCAACTGGAATATTGCAATAGTTGAATTTTATACTCTTGGGAATTAGTTTACCCTTGAAACCAATTTTTAGGCTGTTTGTTGGGATGAACATTTCTCTGTCTGCAGGGTCTCTTCTGAGGATTCTTGTAACAGAAATGATTTCAATATCAGAGGTAGCTGAGTTGAGAAAGTCCTCTTCCTTAATTGAAGGTGGAATGTTTTTTACGATCCCAAATTTTTCTGTGAAAATTCTAGGGATGTAGGCCTTGCAAGACTTTGGACCAAAATCATTGTTTATTATAAAGTTGTTGGCATCAACCGCAGTGGCAAAACCAAGTTTGGCTTTGCCATTGCTGATGGTTTTGATATT